TGTGTGTTCTGCTTCTGGGTCCAGCTTGCGCACGGAACTTCGGTTCATGACAACTGGCCTCTGCCTCTCAGGCATGTTCCACAGGAATGAGGCCTGGAGCAGACCCAGGACATGCTGTGGAGATTTCATCTCTTCACTAAGCTGGAGGTGATGGCTGAAGAGAGGGAGGTCTGGGTATTGTTGACTAGGAAATCCTCTATTTTAAAATCATATGTTGTTAGTAGGTTTTATACAGTTTTAAATGACATCGAAACCACCCTCCCAATTAGCTTAACCTAATCAAGCAATATATATTTAATTAATATATTTAAAAAGAATACAATCATGTTTAAAAAGGCAGTGATTCAAACTTGCAAACTTGCACTTGTGCATTAACTCATATAGAAAACAAGAACAAATAGATTCAAGGTCATGACTAACTCATCAATAAACATGACAGTAATTTCATTTCTGGTGTTTGGCTGGACCAGCGTGTCTATCAATGCTATGGATGGTTATGACATATGAATCATGTGACCGAATCAATGTTTTTATTGCTTTCTTTCTTAATAACTTTGTAATATCCCACTTATTAATCCTTCCCTGATTTACCTGTGGGTTCTGAGGTTATGTCTTTCAAATTTTTCAGCAGATCATTTTTGTCAATCTTCACCAAAGCCATTTTAGTAACTTTAACGGTATTGGTTGAGTAGGTCTGGAACATTTGATCGACTGTGTCCAGCCTGTCTGCGTTCTCCAGCCGACTTGTTGGGATTGATGGGAAACCTTCCATGGCCCCCTTCTGACACAGTATCCACTTGAATTTTTTGAAGTCATCACCTCCCAAGTCCTCCAAGGTCTGCAGAAGGACTTCTTTATGTGTTGCCATCGTTTATCATATGAAGATTCAACAGGTGTCAGAACTGTAAAAACAACAATTTTCTGGTTTATCAACGCTCACGGTAATTACAAGTGTTTTAATTCATTCATAGACAACTTAATTTGAAAAGAAACAAAACACAGAAACACACCAGGGCTGTTCCTAGGTATCGCTGATATCATGAGTTAAGAAAGCTGATTTTGATGATTTAAAGGCGAAACCTGTGTGAGTGTGAGAATTTCGGGGTCTTATCAGTTAATTCCAGCTGTGATTAACCCTTTAAAGAAAAGCGTGTCGTATTTGATACGTGTTTTTGTGTTTTTGGGACTTCTACGTCAACAGCGTGACATTTTTTTTTTATCCTTAAAAATGATAGAAATTGCTAAATATAAATGACTTATATAGCAAATGCAGCACTTGTTTCTCTTTTTGTTTTTGGAGCGATTTATAAGTGGACTTGCCGGTGTGTGTTGGATCATTGCCTTGCTGTCTTGCAAAAAAAGAAAAAAAAAAGGTTTGCGGTTAAGAAACGACTAACTACAAGGCACAGAAGGAAAGAAACTCCATGCAAAGAAAAAAATCCAGATACCTGGATAATTTAGTGTAATGCCATGACTAACCCCTAAAAGAATTCAAGATTGTTTAAATTGACTATGTTTGTAATTATATACTTTTTGTAAAAGAAAAATTAAGCCAACAAGCACTTAAAAATGCTTCAGTGAAAAGTGTGAAATGAAGGGTTACAACAGGATGTTTGAATACAGGATGTTATACAGAGTTGGCCTAACCACCAACTGATAAGGTTCCTTAGAAGCATGTTGGCTGCTCGACATACACACTAATAAAAAGTGCAGAAATGTGTCAGGCTCTTTAGCCTGTACATGGGTTACTCTGCACTTTTCTTGCTCCGTTTGAGAAACTAGAAGCACTGAGTGTGAAGCAGAAGAAGAATATCTACAGGATTCACACCATTAGCATCAGTTTAGTTTTTATGTATTAACAGAACCCTAAAACTTCAAAGTTATCCGTGCCTTCTCTAAGACATCAGAGCACAAACAAGGCTGGATTAAACCCATCTCTAATGCTTTCATTCTTTGAAAAAGCTAATGGTTCTGCAGGTCAGAGTGAACTTCTTACTTCTAGGCCCTCAGGGTCATTCACCCTCAGCGCGCAGCGCTGCCTAAGACAGAAGGAGATGACCACAAATGCTGGATGAATCACATAGCAGCCAGTTCCTTCTCAGTCCTCCAATCATGGCCACAGAAAAATGATTTAAATCACAGAACTCTTTAATCTGACATTTGTACTGGAGGAACAAAAAAAGCAAAAATCACATACTCCACATTAGAAAATTACATCACAGAGCAGACTGGAAGAAACAAATATGCCTTATTTTAATCTCATAAAGTAACCCCCACACACGTTAAAACAGAGAGAGGAGTCTACCAATACTAATGTTGTTCCATAAAGATGTTATAAAGTGGGTGATCAAAGTTGTTCAAGCTTCTAACATCTTTAGTTTGCATCTTTCCATCACATCTCCCAGCTTGTCCAGTCTGGCTTTAATTACAGAGCCAGCTTTTGCTGCGAGATCGATCAACTTTAGACCAGACAACAAACTACGGAGGCTCCGGAAAAGTGCAATCAAACGATGAGTGTTATTATCACAGGAGAACAACCAACCGTCAGCATACGGATTGTTTTGCCCAATACATTGGGTTCTGGTTTTATAGGATAAAATATCACACCTACGTCAATACAGTTCAAAAATACATGGTGACAGACGGGCAAAAGTTCAACCCGTGCAGACAAGGGTACATCACGTACATATAACCTTACACTGACATATAACTTCTCCTTTCTACATTACTTGCCTTTTAAAGTAATAACTTCAGGTCTTAGCATCTCTGAGAGCTAATAATGGACCCTCGTCATTAATCACTAAGTAGAGTACTTTGCAGCCAGTCTCAAACTGAAGCAGAATATGCTTAGGCCTTTGCTCAGACCTGCTACTAGATTAATATGTGTATCGTAAGCGTGCATGCAATTAACCTGCTATGTTCTCATCTCCCCTCAGCATGTATCATCTGGACACTCTCACCAGTGAAGCTTAAGACCTTCTAGAATGGAACATCAACTCTAACCAAGCACATTTATGCATTGTGTATAAAATGAACTCAACCTATAAAAATAGAAAGGTCAATGTGATGACAGACATATTCAATGCAATATAAACCCTGCAGGAAATATTACTGATAAATGATACTGTAAAACATGTTATTAATACATTCTTCATAAGGCAGATTATATGGTAGCAATAAAAGAATCTCTGAATCCCAACACTTTCCTCACTAGTTTGTCTCCTTTCATCCTTGATTCTGTTCCTTGCCAGCAGACTGCAGCACAGAACAGCACACCTGCTGCCACAGACTTATAGAACATCTGCAGCATTTTACTGCAGATATCAATGGATCTTAGTTCCCTTAACAAAAAAGAAAAGGTGATTTGGCAGTCTAGTTTGTTATCTGGTTGTAAACCTAGATATTTAGATTTTGATATCAACCCTATGTCCACCCCACAAGCGTTCACAGGCTGGAGGGGAGGCCGGAAACTTTGGAAATCTCATTTCCTTCAACTTACAGGTGTTCAATATGAGGTCATTTTTGCCTTCCCCAAACCGGAGCACCAGTTCACACTTCCTCATCCCTCATCACCCATCGTTACAGAGGATGTGGTCCCAGCTAGCGAATGTGAGACTGCAGTAAAGTGAATGATTGAGGCGTACATGTGAGTTCAGTCCCACCCCTGACTAAAACCTGGGTCTGAAACTCCCTCACTGTACATGTTTGGGTTTCCAAAGAGGTTAAATTGATGAGAAATGGAAGCAAAGACTTCAAATATATGTTACCACATAAAACGTGTTTTGGTTGTTCTAATTGATCACATTTAAAAGTGTCAGTCTCTTTCTCCCCATCGTTACTGTCATTCACGACAGAAGCTGTGCTGTCTTAGATCTGCATGTGTCCTTCTTTAATGCCTTTTATTTCCTCCTTTATTCTTATCACATTTACGTTGGAGGAATGCTGGCAGTAACTGATTGGACTATTGTGGCACTTCAACAATTGTAGGAATTGCCTTTTAAACTTCTGCCCTGAACTTATGCACTTTAAGAGGATATAATCACATTCCACACAAAAAGGAACAAAATAAAGGGAAGAGGAGGCTCCCTGGGCGTCCTGCAGGAGCTGCAGACTTATTGTGGTGCTTTTCTTCAGTAATATTACTAATTTACTGTCAATTAATTTTCTATATTCATGATTTTTTTCCCCTTGCACCAAGCTTTAAAATATGGAAGTTTGCAAGCATATATGTGCCTTACACCGTGAGCTGTGGCATAAAGACCAGCAGTAAGTGTTACGTGTGCTGCCACAGTGGGTGGTCACAGGACTCTTTCACCCCTGTGTCACCACTGCTCCCATACATATCTGTCAGGCATTTGTTCTATCTGAATATTTTACTCCACTATCAGTCTGAACAAACAGGTCTATTCAATACAAATACTGTTAGAACATGAAGTATATCACCAGGTCGAAGAATGTGGACCAACACTCACCTTGTTTTTCTGTTCCTGCTCTGTCAGCTGTGAAGTGGAGTCTGATCTGGAAGTCCTAAAGCTTTTCAAAGCTACCTCTTATGTGCAGTGTAGCCCCTCCTCTCTGCAGTCACACGAAGGCACATATTTCCTGACACTTTCAGAGGCCTTTATTCACCAACACCAAACGCTCTCAGACTGTGCAAACTAAAGTGCACACAGAATTATACACATAATCAGTTTTGTTCTTAGCGCTGTGTGTAGGTTAATGAATCCGAATCATCTGAAACTGCAGGCTTGAAACAGCGATGATGCTTAGAGGAGCCTACAACACAGAAACCAGGAAAAGCTCAGGGAGGGAGCCAGAAGAGGTCCACCTTTTCCATGAAAATAACAAATAGAATAGAATTCATTAAAATAAACACAGTGTGTAAAATAAATCTTTAATACGTCACCAATTTTTAAAGTAAATATATTTCAGTTTCCCGAGGAAAGACTGCAGCATTTGGTACTGCATACGACTGTTCTGCTGGTACAAAGGTACAGTCTCGTTCTGTTTGGGCTCCACAGGTTTAGGGGAAAAGACCACTGATGAGGTAAAAGTATAAGGTGCTACTGATGTGAAATGCTCACCAGACGTTGGTAACAACCCATCCAAGCATGCGTGCAAAGACATCAAACCATGTCTATAAATTAAATGATGTGTAACAATGAAAAGTGACAAGTTTGGAGGGCAACGGGTTACGAGCTAGAGTCAGGCTCCGGTTTGTGAGAGTGGAATTGTGCAGCGTTGCTGTTATAGTTAGTGTGGATTTTTGTATAAGGTGTGTTTGGTTGGTGGTTTGGTGTGTGAGTGAGGTAAGTAGGCGAGTCGGCCGAAGGCTTGTACAGGTCCGGTAACGGTCTCCTGCAGACTTCTTCTCATAGACCAGGGTTGGCACTGATGGAGGGCAGAAGGAGTGAGTGGAATAGTATGGATGGCAGTGAAGATGAAGAGATTGGCGGTCAGGGTGAAGAGAATGAGTGGGAAAAGGTTGGAAAGGGGACGGAACGGGAGGGACTGATAGTGAAGGTAATGAAGAGGGAACGAGTTCGAGTATGAATGTAATTGTCAGGTGTGAGGAAGAGGGTGTAAAGAAACTAGATCCACTTGAGCTAACAAGAGCACTTAAGGCACAAGTTGGGGAAATCAAGTATGCTAAGATACTCAGAGATGGAAATTTACTGGTGGGTTGTAACACAGAGGTACAGGTGGAAAAAGCAAGGAAACTTGTGGGGGTGTGCAAAGTCAAAGTGACGAATACTGCAAGAGTAGGGGAAAGGAGCACTAGTGGAACTAAAGGAGTTATTGTGGGCTGCCGTTAAATGTAAATATGAAAGAACTGGTGGAGAATTTAAAACTAAGAACTGGAGAAGTTAAAGGAGCAAGGAGAATGACAAGAGGTCCAGAGAGAGTAGAAACAGAAACTGTGGTGGTGGAATTTGACACAAAAGAGGTACCACAAGAGATCTTCTTTGGATTAATAAGATTCAGTGTGAGGGAGTTTGTGCCTAAACCAATGAGGTGTTTCAGGTGCCAAGAATTTGGACATATTGCCAAAGTGTGTAAAGGGAAGAGAAGATGTTCAATGTTCTGAGGATCATGAGTATGGGAAGTGTGGTGTGGGAGTAAAACCTAAGTGCTGTAATTGTGGAGGGGAGCACAGTGTTGTTTTTTGGGGATGTGAAGTGTTGAGGCAGCAGACAGTTATTCAAAAAACAAGAGTACTGCAGAGAGTGACATATGCAGAGGCGTGTAAAACGGTGGAGCAAGACAGACAGATTGGGAAACACCGGGTAGAGGAGAAAAAAGTAATGGTGAAGGTTATGGAAATAGTTGAAAGGAAAATAGAAGAAGAGAAGAAGAAGATGGTGACATTCATTGCGGGAGTAATAAATGCAACCTCAGATGTGAAGTCCAAGACGGAGAGAATCCAGATTATTGTGAAGGCAGCATGTCATAGTTTAGACATGAAGAATATCAGGTGGGAGGACATAAGAGGTGGAACAAGCAGTCAGGCGAGTCAAGAGGGATAATGTGGTGGTTAGTTCTTATAACCATATTAATCTTACAGTGGAATGCCAGGAGTCTCTTGTCAAATGGTCAAGATTTTAAACAGTTTCTATACGAGCAGACAGAAAAACCTGACATAATTTGTATTCAGGAAACATGGTTGAAGCTTTTTTGGATTTTAGAGTGTATGGGTATGTTGCTGTTAGATATGATAGGGAAGAAGGAAATGGTGGTGGGTGCCTTGCGTTGATTAAGGAAGGTATTCCATTGAAGATAGGTGACAGGGAAGGGGATTTGGAGTATGTAGTGATTAAGGTTTGGATAGGAGGGAAGGTGATCATGGTTGTTAATTTTTATAATTCTTGTAAAAAAGTTAGAGTTGAATAAACTGGGGGAAATGGACATGAAAGGAAATATTATCTGGTGTGGGGATTTTAATGCACACCATTTGTTATGGGGGAGTGAGAAAACAGACTACAATGGGGAAGTGTTAGAGGAATTTCTTGACAATGAAAATCTGGTATGTTTGAATACTGGGAAGACGACACGGTTTGATATTAGCTCTGGTAAGTCATTTGGTAGTGATCATTATCTGGTTGTGAGTGAAATAATGGTTGGTCAAATACAGGTACGTGAAACATTAGGAGGGAAGTGGGTGGAAGGCGGAATGGGGGAAGCTTAGTAGGGTTTGTGAGAGGAAGTTTTTACAAGTTTGATTGATTGATTGATTGATTGATTGATTGAATCTTTATTTTGAACATGTTGAAAAAGTATAAAAAAAATAGAATTAAGAGACAAATGAAGAAAGCAAACAAAAGGAAAACGAGCAACCACAACTCCAAATAACGTCCATGTTCAAAAAGGAGCAGGAAGAAGCATAAGCTTATTTAATCCCACCCCTTTTCCACTATCTAGTATCAATAGACTACAGAAATACCTCCT